AGTTTTAGTGGAATTGCAGGAACCATAGACGTCTGATTGAAAATTAGAATGGTGTAAATTGATGCTATCACTGTCCCTGATACACATAAAAAATTTAGAAAACCTCTTTACAATCCCTTTAATTATCTGAGCCGAAATCACGTCCGTAGGCCTACATCACGTCTGAGGAACTGAAAGGGCCAAATTTGTCAGGCTAGGACAACAAAAGTAGCCCTATTCAATCAGCCATTTCCCCTCCTTGTGGCCTTGTATTACTATTTTGGTTGCGATATTAACAGAGATTCTCATAATGTTTTTCACCATTGAATATTGTCCGTCATTAAATATCCGAATCGCACGTCACTGTGTTCCACTAGCACAAAAATCAATACCAAGAGGTTTGACCAAGGATCAGCTGGTAGAAAGGATCCTTGTGAACCTAAGTTGTTATCCTTGTAAAATCAATACCAAGAGGTTTGACCAAAGACCAGTTGGTAGAAAGGATCCTTGTGAACCTAAGTTGTTATCCTTGTAAAATCATTACCAAGTGGTTTGGTCAAGGACCAGTTGGTAGAAAGGATCCTTGTGAACCTAAGTTGTTATCCTTGTCAAATATGGTTGCTTTTTTCTTCTGCCCTCGACAGTTGGAAATTGAAAAAGAGCAGGCTAATGCTGCTGTCCTGGCAAAATTTCCCTCAATACACACTGCAAAGGGTTACCTGTCTTCATTATTTATCTAAAACCCAGTTCTTTCAGATGACACAGAATTTTGGATTTCTTGGACTCAAACATTCCATTTTCAAATATCACACCTGTGTTGATTTTTAGATAATCACAATGTAATAGGCAAGCGTTGCCAGAATTATTCATTCCTTGCCTGCTGGTCACAAAAAGATGCCAATTCCTCCCTTCAAATTTTTAAGTACCCAGAATTCAACTTTCTCTGATAACCAGTGACGCGCATGTGGATAGCAAAATTTATCACAATAATGCTAAAGCTTGCCTCACTTTGAAAATCGTTTCAAAGTCACATGACAAACCATAGCGTCTCAAAAATGATGCACAACACAGAATTTAACATCCACACCTGAAGATATGACAGCACTAGCCATATTTGGTACACAACGATGCATAACACAAGTATTTTAACAATGGGACCTTCACATGTGATGTCACTTGATGCATCACTCTCTATCCATATTTGGTATTGATAAACGATGCACAACACAGAATTTAACATCGGAGCATCCCTCACTGCATATTTGGTGTTGGTAAAACAAACGATGCACAACACAGAAATTAACACTGGAACATTCACATGTGACGTATGATACTTAACGATGCACAACATAAGTATTTTTACATGTGATGTCACTCATTGCATCACTATATATATAACACTATGGCCTTTACATGTGATGCCACTCGATGCATCACTCTCTATCCATATTTGGTACTGCTAATTGATGCTCAACATAAGTATTTTTACATGTGACGTCACTCATTGCATCACTCAATATATAACACTGGGGTCTTCACATGTGATGTCACTCGATGCATCACTCTATCCATATTTGGTTTAATAAACGATGCACAACACAGAATTTAACATCAGAGCCTTCCTCACTGCATCACTAGCAAGCCATATTTGGTACTTAACGATGCACAACACAAGTAATTTGACATGTAACGTCACTCATTGCATCACTCAATATAACACTATGGCCTTCACATGTGACATCACTAGCTAGCCATATTTGGTAATGAGCCATGTTTATGTTTTGCGTTCATTTCGCTGGCAGGAAGATATAACAGAACCGTTCACTTTAATGAAAGGGGAATAACCCTTGGCTATATACTAGTTTCATGGCCGCCTTCATTACTGTTCACTCGTAAGATCAATTGTTTTTTTTCCACCGGTGAAACTTGGTTTAAGTCGTTATAATAGTCAATTTTTCTAGGTTTTGGATTGGGTTTATATACACTGCCACTTAACCCGTTTTGTCGAGGCGTATCGAAGTATTCGGGATTTTCCACGCCATTTGTTAAAGGTTTGATAACTTCATCTTCTTCTAACCCTTCTTCATCTTCTTCGTTAAATACATCTCGTTCATTTTGATAGTAACCTAGCAACAAAAAATATCATGAGTTAGTATTTTATACACACAAGAATTCTGTGTCATTTGTTATTTAAAGGGGCTAAGAATTAATCGTGTCCATACATCAAGATTATTTTTATCCAACGCAATGCATCAATGAGAAGGAAAGAATCGCGATTCATCGGTGAATCGTTGCAGCCCTATTTTCAATATGCTTGTCGAGAATTATCTGCGTTAGAATGTTAAAATGACGACTCGTCAATTTAAGATACTCTGTGATATATAGAAAAGACATATATAGAAATAGTGAGTAAAATTCCTAGTTTGAGATATTTTTGAAGGAATTATGTGATTTTTGTACATTTCTAGTACAAGCTATTTATATATATTTAAGACTCAAATCAAGCCCCCAAAATGGTGCATCTGTCCCTTTAAGTGTGCCATTTCAATGCTATAACTGATTGACTTTGAACACTATTACTGATTGGCTTGGATAAAAATTCCTGTTTCTGAGACTAAGGAATGGTTGGTCAAAAAAGATTGTGCAACTGTCCCTCTACATCAGTGGTTCCCAACTCTTTTCAGCCTTCACACCCCTGGAGCAATCACCTGGACCTTTCACACCCCCAAAAATTTGTTTCATCCACATTTTCAGCACGTGATGATGTGAGATGCTCTCTCAATTCAAAATAAATTCTTCTCCTACACCAGTTGGCCACACCCCTGACACCCTAGTCCCACACCCCAGACACCCTAGTCCCAAACCCCCAGCCCTTCAAATCAATATTACCTTTGTCACTTAGGTCCATATAAGCCGCGGGATTATGGGATTTGGGTTGCAGATAATCATCTTCGTCCACCGGGAGATTTAAAGGCACTTTTCTACTATTTCTGTCATAATTCATGACACCAAGTTCTATATCTTCTACTACTGTAATAATAATAATAATAATAATAATAATAATTCATAACACCAAGTTCTATATCTTCTACTACTGTAATAATAATAATAATAATAATTCATGACACCAAGTTCTATATCTTCTACTACTGTAATAATAATAATAATAATAATAATTCATAACACCAAGTTCTATATCTTCTGCTACTGGAATAATAATAATAATAATAATAATAATTCATAACACCAAGTTCTACATCTTCTACTGCAGTAATAATAATAATAATAATAATTCATGACACCAAGTTCTATTTCTTCTACTACTGTAATAATAATAATAATAATAATAATTCTTGACACCAAGTTCTTTATCTTCTACTACTGTAATAATAATAATAATAATAATTCAAGACACCAAGTTCTCTAGCTTCTTCTACTGTAACAGTAATAATAATAATAATAATTCATGACACCAAG